TAGAAACACCACGAATGTGGCTCCTGTAGATTGAGAGAAGAGAGCTTTCTATGAAGAGGATATGCTTCCTATAGAATGAGAGAAGAGAGCTTCATATGAAGAGAAACACCACGGAAGTGCCAAAGCCACCCTCGGATGTGCCAAGGCCTCCTTTTGAGAGAAGAGAGCTAAGTTTCTATGGAGAGAAACATCACAGATGTGCCAAGGCCTCCCTTTGAGCGAAGAGGGCATTGGCAAGGCCTCCTTTTGAGAGAATAGAGCTTCCTATGAAGAGAAAGACCTTCATTTGAAAGGCCTCCCTTTGAGAGAAGAGAGATTTTGATGAAGAAAAACACCATGGATGTTCCTTCTGTAGATTGAGAACAGAGAGAAGAGAGTTTTTTATGGAGAAACTGTAGAAACGAAAAACAATCCACGAAAACTAAAAAGAAAAAACAAACACAAAAGAAAGAGACCATCAATCACAATGCAATGATATACGTGGTTCGGCAACATGCCTACGTCCACGGGAGATGAGAACTTCTTTACTGGCAATGGAGAATAGGGTTACAAAAAAAGCTCTCTTCCTCACGCCTCTCTGATTACATAGCAGTCTACGTTTTTCCCTTAACCCAAGATAAACCCCCAATCGCAACAATATATATCAAGTTTCAGATAAATGGTACAAATTACCAAAATACCTTTGTACGGATATATATTAAGTCCCAGATATATCAAATCCCATGTACGGATATATCCGAATTTTTTCTCAGGCGCTGCCGCCCTCGAACCCCCACATGGGCTGAGTCTGTCGAGTCAACCTATCAAGACGACTCTTCTAGGCCTCAAGCCCTACGGGCTTTTAATGGCCCTCAAGAGTCATCGTTTTTACTCCACCTTGACAAATCTATTTCCTCAGAATACAAGACATCAATCCTCAACAAATTTGCTTTTAGAATAGGGACGTCACAATTACTTACAACCATATGATGTAAAATATGATAGCTTAAGTGTGTCACAAAGTTCGAAAACTTTTTTTTTTTTATTTGAACTTTGAGCATGGTCAATAAAATAAATGCAGCCACCCAATTTCACATCCAATGGTCAAGACTTATTGTAACCACCTTGTAGAAAAAGTAAATGGTCTCATTATATACTTTCCCTTATTTAAAATACAATTATAAATATTTGTTGATACTTTAGTTAGATTTGACTAACTTTTTCAATCATAGTGTAGTAAACTATTTCAAAATACAAGACATCAATCCTCAACAGCAACATCACAGATGTGCCTCCTGTAGATTGAGAGGCTGTTTATTTTTGTAGAGAAACGGTTCCCATATGAATTGAGAGGCTGGAGAGCAGTTTCAATATGAAGATTTTGGGTAGTTTCCCCCTGAGAGGATAGTTTTGAAGTGGTTTCTATATGAAGATTTTGGGTGATTTCCACTTTTTGGTGTAGATGTTGGGCGGTTTCCCTTTTTTGGTGTCAAGGCTCTCCTCTTAGACAGTGGAATAAAGATGGTCAGTGGAATAGAGATGAGAGGTCGACGATGGTGTCAATTGGGAGACTCGGTCTAAAAGGGTTTACTCGACAACGTTTTGTTGAGGGTTATAGAGGTAAACATACTTCAATTATAGAGGTTACTCTATGTCTCAAAATCTTTAACGTAACTTTCGTTGGTATGGTGGATTTCAATTTGTCAAGCTCGTAGATGTAGCCCTCTTAGGGTGAACCTATGGTGTGTTTTTCATGCTTTATTTATCGTATTATGTCTTCCATGCTTTGTTTCTCTCTCTTATTCCTATTTTGTTTCTAGCTGGACAAGTACACGATCATGATGGGATTCAACTTTTGAGATTCTGCATCTAAGAAGGTTCTTAAATCCTAATACATATGATTTAAATCAAGTTTAGAGCTGAAATTATTCTTGGATCATTTGATTAATCAATCAAGAAACTTATTGATCAATTTTATGACCAAATTCAAATCAAATAACTATTTGGTTTTGATATGGAAAGACAGCTGTTTATGGCCCTAACTCAGCGAGTCTCAAGGATCACTTTTGGGAGGAACTTGAACTGCACTTGGTGCATCGTGGGTTCCTAATACATATGCCGAAAAGGTTTTTATATTGGTCACAACCCTATACTGGAGCCTGTAAGCTACACCTCAAAATTCAGTATAAAAGAGTGATTCGAAGTTGGAAAATCTTTCAATTGACCATCTCGACTTTAAAATGTATGGATATAAAGAAAAAAATTGAAGTCCTAAAAATAGTGCTCTTCTAAATAGTTATTTGGACAGTCTATTTTTAATATTTTCGAGTGTTTATAGAATTGCTCCATCTCTACCATTTTTGAATTTTAAATTTTAGGATAAAATATAACTTTTTAAGCCACCATAAGATTTCTAACACTATAATTATATATTCTTACAAATTTAGAGGTGTGCCTTACTTTTGTAGTATAAGTTAGGCACCTTATGCAAACCTGACCTTCACTTTTATATATATAACATTTGGACCATTAGTTTCTATTGTTTTTAGATGGAACACCTACTTGCATCTATCTTTAAGATGGATGCTTTACACTTTTTGAACCGCATATTTAGAAGTGCGGTCCAGCCCGCATAAAACAATTTTCCTCATAAATATAGCTAAAAAGTATCCTAGGGGTAGAAGGAAAAAATAAAATAAAATTGGGTAATAGGTGATGGACACTTTTCAATAGGGGGTACTAGGAGAAAAACATCCAAACTTGAGGGATTTAGTAATGTTCTTGGTTTTATGCTGCTACATATGCAGGCCTCTTAATAAATCTAGTTTTTAGATGGATTTTAAAACTTAAGTTTTAAGTACATATAATCTGTAACATGGAGATCATGAATATGAAAAAATAAATCAATTGTAAAAACTAGAAATAATAATTCCAATAAGAAAACATTTGAACCGTTGGTTTTCATTGTTTTTAGATGGAGCACCTACTTGCATCCATCTTTTTTAAATGGAGGCTTTACACTTTCTTGGCCGCATATGTAGAAATGCGGTCCATCCCGTATGAAACAATTTTCTTTTAGTAATTCTCCCCAATTGCATTATGCAAGCTGATCAAAAGACACTTCTTTAGTCTAGTTGGCCACAATGAGAGCTATGCGTACGACACTTCAATAGGAGTGAATATAAAAAGAAAAGCTCTTAGTGTGGGCAGATCAAAAAGTCAACTTTTGAATCGCTCAAAGACATCAATTTTATATTTAGGTAGTTTGAAAGTTTACATGTTTCGAATAATCCGAATATTACAATAATTATTTGTTTTGAAAAGATCAGAATTTCTAACAGGGGTAAAATGAGAATAGGAAAACTCAAGGAAGTAGGTTCTCAATAACATAACCTAAATATAGACTATGTAGCAATACTGCATCTTTTCTAAAGTCAGTATGTAATATTTTTTACTTTTTGGAGTACCAGGGGTAAAAGGGTTCAGTAGTTCAACAATAGGCATCGAACTTAAAAATGTAGCACTGCTTTACATCAAGTACTAACATCTCAAGCTCAAATCGGAGTGCTATCATTCATCATTGGAAGATTGTGCGGCAGTGTCGCATGGGGACGAGACCATTTCCCATTTGTGCATAAAATAAAAGCAATTGGTAAACCTGGTGGAACTTGTTCGAGTTTCACAATGTGCCAAATGAACTCATTTTATAGAAGGGGCTGAGGTCATGGTGGTAGGAGCTACACCGTAGTCACTGCATTGTGGTTCTCATTTCCATCAATAACACCACCCTATTAACAAGTTTAAAAAGTTAACTTCTAGTCTATTTGAAAAAATGTGTAGGTCCGTCTTCTCCACTGAATTACCCAAACACCTGCCTGATTATTTTGGGGGCAATGGCTTTGCACCTTTCCACCATTTATCATTTCCACCATTTATCAAGACACTGAAGATGGGACTTGTTCCTCATTTGCTTTTATCCAGTTTAGCTTTTTTTATTCTCAATTTGCTTTTTTTATTCTCAATTTGCTTTTCCTTTCTTTCTCTCTCTCTTTCCCTTTTTCTTTTTCTTTTTTGAGACTTCATGGTGGCTCTTTGCTTCTGCTTCACAGTGGCTCTTCTTCTCCTCTCCATCTTTAGATATCTGCCAATATTAACGTGTATATATATACATAGAGAGAGGTCCTTTCAATTCGTATTAACAGGTAGAGATAGAGAGAGATCCCTTGCAATTCTTCCTTGGAACAATGGACCTGAGGTTATATGAGGTCTGTGAGACCGGCAATTTCACGGCCTTCCAAGGATTGATTGAGGAAGACAAGTTCATCTTACGCGAAGTTATGCCTTTGTCTGGTGACACCTGCCTCCATGTAACCGCAAGGTTTGGGCATGCTACGATCGCTGGAGAGATCCTCAATCTCAGGCCAGATATGGCACACGCAGTAAACCACGAAGGTCTCACCCCCATGCACCTAGCTGCAGCCAATGGGTGCAGAGAAGTTTACGAATTGCTTCTTAGGACCAATCCCGGCAAGCTTTGCTTCCTTAGGGACAGAGATGGAAGGACCCCCGTCCATTATGTAGCCATGAATGGGGACTACTCAATGTTCTCAAGCGCAATGGTTCTTTGTCCCCAATCTACCACAAGTTTAACTGATAAGGGTGAGACAGTTTTGCTTCTATGTGCAAAATACAATAAATTTGAGTTCCTGAACGTCTTGATCTCATTCCCCCAAGATAAGGAGTCTGTGATTGATCTAATTCATGTACCAGATAACCATGGGAACACTCTCATTCACTTGGCCAAAGTGGCCGGACAACATGCGGTGAGTGGTCACTTCCTCTACTTAGTTTTATGAGAGAAAATTTCTATAATGGGAGTAATTACATTCTTCACTTGCATTACTTGTCTGGTATTAGAAAATTGCCTGTATTGTTTTTTTTTCCCATTGTGAAGCTTATGTATATACCCCTCGAGCCGTATTTTTTAGGCGTGGCCGCCCTCAGCACTTCTTAGAACATATGATTAAATTACTATTTATTTTTGCAGCCATCCCTACAAAAAAATAGTTAACTTTATTGTGGATGAAAATAGCCCCAATGTATAAAACAACAGTGGTTTCGACTCCTTCACTTTCTCCCTTAAGGCTTTCAAAGTTCTAGAGAGATTCTCTCTAAAACTTAAAATAAAACTTGAAATTTTAGATAGTTTATTTATTGACAATTTTTCAAATAGTTTCTCTATTTAAAACCTTGAAATTTCGAATTCTTAAAGAGAGAATCATTGGTACACGGGGGATTTTTTTTTGCAGTAAAAGGTACTCAATTGCTGGGGGGTGGCTACAAAAATAACTAATTATTGGGTTATTTGTTGTGATTTAAAAAGTGATGAGGAAATGCCAAGAAATTACTGCCAAGGGGGAATACATAGTTTTCTCTTTATCTTTCATATTGGAAGTTGGATTCAAGCGTTGGTCCTTGTATTGCAGCCCTGGACACTAAAACCCACTTGAACAACAATTCCAATATCTAGCTATTCTCACAAGGAAAATCTAGGGGTGTCAAAGAGCTCAACCAAGTTGAGCTTGCGAATGTTCAATCTTGACTTGGATGGGTAGAGGTCCTGATTGACATTAGACATGAGTATGAACTATTTGGCTTGAGCAATACTTGATTATCTTATTTTTTTTGGTAAGTAAGTGGGGAGAAGGTCCCTACATGTTTTTCATTAAATAATAATAAAAAGAGATAGCATCTCATAAATTTACAACTCTTGAGGCAATTGTGCAATATCATGGAGTAAAGAAAAGGAAATACAATTAGGCGGTTTGGTACACCATATGGTAGCGTCTCAAAAAAACTATGGCCTTTTTAACGAGTGTGTCGCAGTCTTACTTGATGGCAAGATCCACTCCAACATGCAAAGCATGAAATTCAACATAATTATTTGATGCAACTCCAAGAAGTTATGTAAATGTAGCAACAAAGGAACCATCTTCACCTCTAATGATCCCACCTCCACCTGCCCTTCTTGGGTTCTGCAGAGAAGCTCTATCAAAGTTATATATATACATTGAGATGGATAGTTATGTAGGGATAAGGAACCTATGGTAGAAATAAAATTCAAGACACTATATTGTGACAATCTACCACGTTGACCACCTAGCCGTGGGCCCAGTCATAGGTAAACTTGTATTGGGCTTGGCTTGACCTCTTTGATTAGACAAGAACTTAAATGAGTCGAGCCAAAGCAAGGTAAGCTCAAACCCATTCATTAGGCGCGCCGACCACAATGCCATGAAAAAAAAGGGTATTCTCAGTCAAAGCAAATAACTTGTAAGAGTTTGAATTACATTAAACATTTTTACATCGTGTGTATGCTACCACATCGTGTAAATGTGCTCAAAGCTCATGACGCATCAAGCTCAATTTGTACAACGTGTAGGGACCCATCCCTACTGAACTTGCCAAAAAACAAAAAGAAAATAAAGACAAAGTTTTAGTGTTGAAAGGCAATATTGTGCTCAAGTGATTTGAAATTTGAGTTCTAATTTTTGGAGGGGCAATTGAGTCCATTACCTCTATAAAACGCCCATGCAAAGGACTTGTTCGCTGGCTCAGAATTAAAAAAAACAAGGGCCTGGGCCACAACATACATCATGTAATCCGAGGGCAACCAAAGGCTAGCACTAGGCAAGGCTTGTGCCAAGCCATGACTAGTTCGGCCCGGTCCAGCTAGCCCTTCTTTCTTCAGTTTTTCTTTTATTTTTATTTGATTCTATTTGGCCAGGGCCCTTTTGGCTGGGTGCCGAGCCTGTACAGGGCCTCTTTGCCCAGGTCTGGGTCGGGCCTAAGCCAGCCCTATGTGGACAAGGGGAGGCTAGAGCCAGGACCCAGACCCAGACCCAGCCTGCTGCTGGCCCTAAGGTGGAGGTAGGGATAAATGGGGGGCTAAGATCTCAATGTCCATGGTCTGCAGAAAAAAATCACACACAATAATTGTTTGTGAGCAGCCCTAATCCCCACACCAAATTTGCAGCTCGTAACGTATATGGAAAGCCGAGCAAATACAGAGGACCAAACGCGACCTCCGAACGACCGGTCAGTAGAGGATCTACAAAGCCAATCTCAGAGAAACCAAAATCAGCCTGAAAATAGAGACAAAGCAGAAAAAGATGGCCATTTTCAAGAACAATGGCTTGAAGGCATAAAGAGCTCTAGGGGTACAACTTCAGTGGTTGCTGCGCTAATAGCCACTGCATCCTTCGCTGCGGGAATTAGCCCTCCTGGTGGCGTTAACAGTGACGGAGCAGCCGCAGGCACAGCTACTAGGGCACACACCGCAGCTTTTAAGGTGTTTGCAGTCGTTAATGGCCTAGCACTTCTTCTCTCTCTCACCATTCTCATACTTGACATTGTCGTCATACCATACCGCCCTGGACCACTTACGAAGCTAGCAGTCATGACGAGACGTATATTGTGGGCAGCGGTCGCTATGTTATTGGTCGCCTTCATGGCCGCAGCATGGATTGTCATGCCGCATGTGGGAGCCCATGGCTGGGTGGCGTGGTGCCTCATGTCATTGGGGTTGCTCGTATTTTTCTTGCTAGTGTTCTGTTTGATCGCGATGACGCGCTTCCTTTCCGACACAACCATTCCTTCTTGCTCTTCTGACACAAGCGAGCCTTCTGGTTTTGCAGTGGTGGCTGAGCTTAACAGACGGAAAGAGTACAGCGCTACGCAGCTGGCATGATGACATGAAGAACATAGTCGTTGTTGTTGTTTCTTTAATTCTATTTGCAGTTACTACAATTTTATATAAGTTCTTGCGAGGCACTCGTATTGTGCAAACTTCTGTGTTCTGCTCAAGTTTAATTTTTACTCAAATTCCAGACTGTAACATGTTTAGAAGTTTTGTTGAGGTTTCCAAGCCTGATACCTTTTCTTGCCCTCACTCTCAATGGCATTCTTCCGTGGATGTAAGTCACGTTTGTGGCTGAACCGCATTAAATCTTTGTGCTATATGTATTGCTGTGTTGCTTTTCATTCCATGTTATATATATATATATATATGAAAAACCAATTACATTCTTTTTCTTTTAATCAAAACAATCGTACAGAGAGAAAAAGAGAATGAAAAAGTGGGAAAAATAAGACGTCAATACATGCCTGATTCAGAGGGCAGAACAAAAAGGATGTCAATGCGTCTACTTCTCTTCTTCCTTGTGGAGAGACATACATATCTCTCTCTTTGGCGATGGGAGATTACAGAGTAAAGCAGCCGAGAGAGAGGGGAATATAAATAATAAAGATAGTGAGAAGAAGAGAAAAAAGAAGTCCATAAAAGCCTCAATTATACCGGTAGAAGAAAATAAAGTCGCACTAATCCAATGTAAAAAAAACAAAAATTGCTTGGAAAGGCAATATTTTACTTGATATTTCGTTCCTGAACCCGCCACTAGTACAATAACGTGTCGTTCTTGGTTTAAGAGCTAAAAATAAATTTATTTTGTTTTAAATAAAAAATTTCAAGTCATATCAAGCCCACTAACAAGGTGTTCTCCGTTCTGTAAGTTTGGTCCCATGTGCGCAGATCTCCACAACCATGATCACAGACGCATACCCATAGAGAGAGAGGGGAAACTCTATGCAGCCAGTCGAGAGAGAGAGATAAGCCTATGTAAGTCTAGAGAGAAGATAGAGAAAGAGAGAGAAATCTATGCACCTATCCTAACCCTAAAGAGAGAGAGGTCTATGCAGTCAAGAAATAGTCTATATATTCATATGGTACGAAGTTGATATTGAGAGAGAGAAGAGAGAGATGGATCGGAGGTTTTATGAGGCCTGCGGAGCAGGAAACCTTGATGCCTTCCAAGAACTAGTGAGAGAAGACGAACTCATACTCAATGGATACAGAAAAATTATAATTGTCGTGAGTGTTTTGTGATTGGAAGGTTCATTTTTTCTCTGATACCACATATACTATTGTTTATTAGAAACAGAAACATGATTATTCAAATAAGAAAAGAAAGAGGCATCACGACTTGGGTTCTTAAACTTCAAGGCAAACAGATGACCAATTCTATGCCCCTTTCCTTTCACTATCCTATTGCATTGGTTATGTATTATACAACCATCACAAGAAAATTGAACATTGTGACCATCATTAAAAAGTTGGCCCACATAAATTAGATTAGCAGTTAATTTAGGAACTAAGAAAAGATTAGGTAAAAACAAAGGTGCACTAGGGAAGACATAGAATGAGAGATAATCAATATCAATAATATCCAATTTCTCCCCATTAGCTGTGAAAATTTGATTAGTATCATAGTATGGTTTAGTAGATGATGGACTTATATGCACTACAGTCATATGATTAGAAGCACCTTAGTCAATAAACCAAATGGGATTCACAGTAGGGGATATGAGAGAGTCCTTACCAGATAAGCTCACAGTAGAGAAAGTAGAAGAGATAGCTGTGGATATTGAGTTTTGTACCAATTACCAAATATCATTTGACATAGATGTTGTCAAGGACCCTATCATTTGGGATTTGAATAGTATTTGTTGGATAGATCTCTCACTTTGAATCTACCATTAATCCCTTTGAAATATACCCAAAAAATTTGCAATAAATACAAAAAAAAAAAAAATCTTCTTATAATAGGATGCTATATGACCATACGTTTTAGATGCATAACGTTGCAGTGAAGATGCAACCTTTTATGTTGTCGTTCCTCTGGCCCGTTGGGCCACAAAGATAGACTCTATGTCATTTCCCTCAATAGTGGTCTATGTTCTAATTCTTGTCTCATCACGAAGTAACTCACCTAGAATAGCATCTATGTTAGGTAATGTTTCGCGATTCAAAATATTGGCTCGAATGACCTCATATTCTAACAACCTTGACTATTATGGTTATGAATAAATAAGGATTTCAAGCCCTAAAACATTGTATATTGTGACTGATTATCAAGATCATCCATTTTTAAGTGTTTACAGATCTACAAGATCTATATCAATTTTTGAGCTGCAAACTTCCCATTAGCTGTGACGTTTCTTCAGTTTCTATAACTGATCATTGTGAAGTTTCTCCATTTTTGTGACTGATTATCCAGTTTCCTCCCATTAGCTGTGAAAATTTATTATAGTATGGGATTCACAGTAGGGGATAGGAGAGAGTCCTTACCAGATAAGCTCACAGTAGAGAAAGTGGAAGAGATAGCTGTGGACATTGAGTTTTGTACCAACTGCCAAATATCATTTAACATAGATGTTGTCTAGGACCCTATCGTTAGGGATGTGAATAGTAGTTGTTAGATGGATCTCTCACTTTGTATCTACCATTAATCCCTTTGAAACATCATTAACAGCTTAGTATGCCATGTAAAAAGGTTTTTTTTGGTTGTCTCAGCATTCCAATAAAATATGCTCAGAACATTTGCAATAATTACAAAAAAAATAAATAAAAAATAAAAAATCTTCTTATAATAGGATGATATATGACCATAGGTTTTAGATGCATAACATTTAAGTGAAGATGAAAACTTTTATGATGTCGTTCCTCTGGCCAGTTGGCCACAAAGATAGACTCTATATCATTTTCCTCAAAGGTGGTCTGTGTTCTAATTCTTGTCTCCTCACGAAGTAACTCACCTAGAATAGCATCTATCTTAGGTAATGTTTCGCGATTCAAAATATTGGCTCAAATGACCTCATATTCTAGCAACCTTGATTATTATGGTTGTGAATAAATAATGATTTCAAGCCCTAAACCATTGTATATTGCGACTGATTATCAAGATCTTCCATTTCAGGTCTACAAGATCTATATCAATTTTTGAGCTGCAAACTTCACGGCCAGTGTTGGAAATTGATTTTAGGGGCATCTAATAACCAAAGTACTTTTGAAACGAGGATTCAAGGTGAGTATTGTTTTGTATTTTTTTCTCATAAAGCCAGGGTATAGAGACTGAATCCCAGTGAAAATCAAAAGAATTGAGCTTCACTAGTTCCCATCCAAACTACAAAATTTGGAAATGCCCAAACCCCATCTACTAAGCATACAAAGATGGCCTCATTAGCAAACCTCTAACTTCCATTTTTATTTTTGATTGCTATATAAGTTATGTTTGTTTCTAATCTATGGAGAAGTACCATGTGGAGCTCACATGCCTCTCATTTTGACACGCCCTGAAAAAGCCGTAGGGGCCCATCTTCCATACCGAATTACCCAAAACAAAAAAAAAGAAAAAGAAAATTGCTAGCCAATGAACCTTTCTTAAGTCGAACTGAATATTAAAAAAGGAAGATGATTTTCGAATAAAGATATATTTAAAAGCTCTTTTAAGAGAAAATACGATAACAAAATTAAAAATGGACAAGAATGAGCAACAGTAATTAAAACATGATCAATAAATCGAACAAGATAACAACAGTAGTGCACAAAGACCAAGAAAATGTAAAATACTCAAAAGTCACCATGAACACAAGCGATAAGTGGAAGAGGCATTTCACTGAGTCCTATACCTGTACATTGATCGGTGGTCCAAATCACACTATTGATAAAATTTAATGATGATAGATCGAGTATAGGTCCTCCTACTACAGCGATCTACTTGATCATGATGGTGGCCATGGCTATGATGTGATTATCACTGTCTTATTCATGGTGTGACGGTGATGGAGGAGAGTAGGTTCCTCTCAGCAGCAATCGTAAAAAACATTACTTATTTTTTTGAAGTTAAAACATAGGAGAATAAATACGGTCCAGAATTCTGTCCGTCCATTCTGATCTTATGTGTTCCATGTACAGAGATTTGAGTGCTCGCCACCGCATTATCTGGTGTAGTAAGCACAAGTACCACGAAAGCCGTAAACGAAAACAACCACAAGATCAACAGGCCCGTCCCATGCACAAGAGTTTGCCCGAATAAGAAGCCCAACAACATGGTGAAAATGGCCCCGGAAAGTATGATCCTCGCCTGTTCTAGCAGTTTTATTGCATGCCCTGGATCAACGGGCATCAAGCCGATGATGATGAGCTTAACGAACACAGAGAATGCGAGAGCCAAAGAGTTGCACAGACTCGACCAGGATGGGGGTGGGGTGCCAACTAAGTTGTCGTCTGTGTAGGAACCTCCAGGAGGTCTGAGCCCCACTTTTAAGGCCACCGTGGCTATCAATGCGGCAACCACTGCAATGGTATTCCTAGAAGCCTTCTCAGACTCGACAGTTTCACTTGCGGGCCTACTTCTCTCAGTTCCACCAACAACTGCACATTTAAGAGCATGCTCTATGGCTTAAGATCTTTTGAACTATAAGCATTTAATATTTTGTGGAGAGCGAAGAAGCCGGTTTCTTGAATGAAGAGCAAATCAGCAATGCTGTTAAATTGGTGACCTAAGTACCGAGGGGTTGGGCTGGCCGAATGCGACCGGTTCCTTGGTCATCTAAGAAAGTTAAATAATTAATAAAAATTGTAAAATAATAAGGAATTTGGTTAAAATAGTGGAAATTAGGGAAAAAAAAAGAAGAAAAAGGTATTAGAAACAAATAAAACTCTTCAAGCCATTAACAATACAATAACTCAAATTTGTAAACAAGACACAAGACAAAAAACTCATTACAAAACTTTTAAAAGCATTAGGTATGGACCTCAATAAAAAATAATTTTTCATTCTCTTATTTTTAGGAAAAATGCAAAAAATAAAAATCAAATTAAAAAAGTTAAAATAAAATTTAATAACAAAAAGTATATTTCTATTCTCTTTCTATATCGATGCTTTTTTTTATTATTATCTATTTCTTAATGGAAGTAGTTTCTATAAAGCTTAGGTTTTATGAAAACAAAATAAAACGTCATCTTCAATCCTCATCCGGGAAGCTCATTAGGCAA